ACACATGCACGGACGATTTCAGAATTTGCTGTCAACGTTTTCATGACAAAAATACTGTTTTAAAGTGACAAAAAAAGCGATCGCGAAAAACCCGGAAGTTACCATGAAACAGCTAGCTAGCTTAGCTGTTACCTGCCTAGCACGTCCCGGTGAAACCTTTGGGAGCTAACTATTTTATTTGCAGTCATTAAATACATTTCAAATTGTAAGGGCTGTCTAATATTTGGTCGAATATATATATATTTTTTATTTTAGAATTATATTCGAATTTTGAAGTCGAAGCCCTAGTGTTGAGCAGCGCTGTAGAGGCTATAGAGGACACGGGCTGTTCGCTTCTTGTTCTGTGATTGGAGGAGAACGTCCCGCTCAGACTCTACTCAGCACTTTTCACTGCTTGTAATTTTTACACAGCTGAATCAATGACCTCAAGTTTTCAATTAAATTATGTATTATGATACAACTTGTATGTAGTAATAAGCATTTTTATCAACTAATTAGAAAAAAAATCGGGTATAGCTTCTTTAAACGAGACCATAACAGCTGAATAGACAAGAGTTTTGTCATCAACAAATCTATAACCAACACCTTTTTCTCAAAGATAGAAATCCTGCTTTTATTCCTTGTTTTGTCGTTAATGATTTGAGAATCATAACGAGACCTTTTTTAGTTCTGCGCCACATGGTTCTTTACCAGTGAGATTAGCTCGATGTGGTGAGTTCTGGCGCCCGGATCACAGACTTTCTGATTGGTGAAACGGTGGAGGGCGGGACATCGAAATGAAAACAATAACAAGATTTAGGCTGGAAAAGTAATTTAGAAATTCTAATATCTCTGAACTACTGTTATCAGTTAAAGAAGTGTTGGAAAAGAGCAGTTTATTATTATGACAGATTAGGGCCCTTTAATAATGACAGATTAGGGCCCTTTAATAATGACAGATTAGGGCCCTTTAATGATGACAGATCAGTGCCCTTTATTGTTGACAGATTAGGGCCCTTTAATAATGACGGATTAGGGCCCTTTAATGATGACGGATTAGGGCCCTTTATTGTTGACAGATTAGGGCCCTTTAATAATGACGGATTAGGGCCCTTTAATGATGACGGATTAGGGCCCTTTAATAATAACAGATTAGGGCCCTTTAATAATAACAGATTAGGGCCCTTTAATGAAGACAGATCAGTGCCCTTTAATTATGACTTGAAATGAAAATTTTACATATTGCTTCTTTAAAGTGGGCATATCAAAGCATTTCACTTAATATTAAAACCTTCATTGATACAACGTTAACATCTATTGATAATCAACAATTTTGGGTCCAGAATTGGGAAGTTTCCTAAATGATCGTTGAACTATTTAAGGCTAGTAAAAGTATCCAGAGCGACAGTCAGAAGCAAACAGAGGACGATATTAGAGGTGCTAATGTGGCATCATAAGCGGTCATGTGACAAAAAAATAAAATAAAAATACATTTAAAATGTTAAAATCAAAAGCGGTTCACAGGTTCATTTTGTATTGTAGAATCAATAAAGTTAGTTCTTTATTTAAGAAGAACTAACTAACTTTATTTTGAACAAATGATATGATGTCTAAACAGTTCTTAGCTGTAAAACTTTATTACTTTACAGACTAATTCATGCAAGTAAAGACCTTTTTTGACATTCTCAGCACCAATTCAAATGTACAGAACAACATAGATGTTTGCCCCTAACTCTGGGACCACCTCAGCCTCTGCACGCGGCACATTTTGCAGCTGTAGCCGCTGTTTTTCAGAACAAGAGCAGGTTTGTCCTTCGCCTCGTTTGATGCTGGTGATGTCACACACTATTCAGTAAAGTCTGGACGTTTGTGAAGGCTATATTTACCCAGAAAGTTCCCTGCCATGCTTTTGTGTTCCTCTTTCCTTTCTGAATCCCATATTTGGTGACCTACACGACCTGAATTCATTATTGATGTGGCCCGTCTCTGCTGTAAAAACTAGGACATGTTTTTTCACAACTGTGGCATCATTTCACTGTTGATCAGAGTCCAACATTATCCAATCCTTCTTTGTTTGTTTGAGATCTCAGTTAATCTTTGAGTTATCATGGTTCGGGCTGTTCTCTCCGATACTGAGGCTTCATCGGTTTGAAAAGACAATGATGCAGCGTGAAAATACATTCATAAAAGGTACATTAGGCAACTTTTCTCCCTGCTTCCCAATATGTTATTGATCTACAAGGATTCTATCTCACTTTGGCTTCAGCTTCTTCTTGAGGGGGAACTCACCTCTTTGTATAAATACTATAGTTACCAGTAATTATAGTTATTTTAGTTATTCTTATATAGCTTATATTCTTGGGATTCATTAAACTGGTCAGTAGGGGGCGCATGAGCAGAGGTGGGACAACTCAGTTTTGGAGTCAAAAGGCTCTCCTCCTGTGCGGTGTACGGTTGTTGGAACAGTCTTAATCAGTCTTAATCGGGGAAACTCAATTCTAAGGGAGTACTAACAAATATTTCTCAAAAGAGTGTTGATTTTCGGCATTTTTGTATATAATGAGAGAAGAAATGTCTTTGTTTCATTGGGGCGGCCTGCAGGGGGCGTTTATCTGGGAAAGCCTTGATCCACCTCGCCCGCCTCATTCCAGTGATTTTTTTCAAAGTGTCCTCCTTTATATGAGACCACAGTTGGAACATTAACAAACTCTTGTCTTTCTCTGTATTTGTGCGGTTGCTACAAGCGTACACCGCACAAAAAGATGGCATTTTTACACCGCCTCTTCTTCTACTATATCTCCGTGTATAAACCCGGCAGACTGCACCACCAGGATACGTCACGTCCTGTCCCACGTTTGTTATTCTCACCACTGCCCTGACGTCATATGAAACCCAAGAATACTCAATATTATTCCAACTGCACAAGCACTTTATGTGGCCATGTGCAATGTACTTTCTTGATCCTCACCGCACTAGCTCTTTAGACATTGTGCATTGTTGTTTATTGTATAAATACTGTTTTTTCACTTGCATATTGATATGTATCCTGGGACTATTGGGACTGTGAATTATTACGGCCTATTCTTGCTTTGAAACTGTGCAGACGAGCAGATGGTCCTGATGTTGAGAGTGTCTTGCATGTCTGTGTCCACCAGAAATCTGAGTCTGAGATAGATTAGATTTCTAGCCTGAACCTAGACATGTCTTTCTACATTTTACAAGAAAATTCAGTTAAAGAGTGAATATTTCTTGTAGTAATAGTCGTTAACTCAGTGACTGCCTGCCATTTTTGATGATTTCACTGATTTTCGAGACCCACAGAATATTGTGTGCAATGACTATGTGAAATATGAAACCAGATTCTGAAAGATTGGACTGTCTACTTTCAGCAGCAAAAAGAAGTTAGTTTCTAGCTAGTTTTGTTGTCCTGTAATCTCCGGTCGAATAGAGAGAATTCGCATGGCGCCGTAAAGATGGCGCCGTGGCAAGAGCTCTGGTGTGTGTGGTGCACACCGGGGTAGTCTTGCACAGTTTTTCCTATGTGGTTTTACTGCAAATGGCAAATAAATGAATCTGAATCTGAATCTGAAGAAGTTTGACAGAAGATAAATACGTCAGTGGCAGTAATTGAGTTTTGATTAATGACTGTATTTGTCATGGTTAAGGTTACTTCCTGTTTGTAATGTTCTTCTTTGGTTGTACTTCCTGTTTGTGCGGTGACCGGCCCCGCCCTCATGTGTCTCGCCTGTGTCTCGATAGTTGTTTTTTATGTTTTCAATCAATCAATCTGTATTTATAGAGTGCTTTTGCTACACAGGGCAACACAAACCGCCTCACAGTCCACACCACACAAGGCACAAATCATCACTTTTAAAAATAAAATTAAAATAACACAGATAATTAAAAACTTTAAAATCACACAAAGGATTACAATAGTAAATAAATAACACGCTGCGTTAAAAAGATAAAAATTATTCAGTTGTATGCACAGGCAAAAAGAAAAGTCTTTAACCTGGATTTGAACATCGCCAGAGAGGCAGCCAGTCTCACATCCGCAGGAAGACTGTTCCAGACCTCAGCAGCATGAATCTGAAAAGCAGCCTCCCCATGTTTATTCCTGACTCTGGGCGCTAACAGGAGTCCAGTCCCAGTGCTCCTCAGAGTCCCAGCAGGAGTCCAGTCCCTGTGCTCCTCAGAGTCCCAGCAGGAGTCCAGTCCCTGTGCTCCTCAGAGTCCCAGCAGAAGTCCAGTCCCTGTGCTCCTCAGAGTCCCAGCAGGAGTCCAGTCCCTGTGCTCCTCAGAGTCCCAGCAGGAGTCCAGTCCCTGTGCTCCTCAGAGTCCCAGCAGAAGTCCAGTCCCTGTGCTCCTCAGAGTCCCAGCAGGAGTCCAGTCCCTGTGCTCCTCAGAGTCCCAGCAGGAGTCCAGTCCCTGTGCTCCTCAGAGTCCCAGCAGAAGTCCAGTCCCTGTGCTCCTCAGAGTCCCAGCAGGAGTCAGAAGCCAGTGCAGTGTTTTCCGTCACGCTCTGTTCTGTCGTCGTCGATCCACGTCTGTTTTAGTTCTTTCTCTGTTCGGTTACTTTTTGTGTTGGTTTCTCTGGTTTTTGTTTTATTTTACCTTCATTAAATCTATCATTATTTGCAGTTCTGTGTTTTGGGGATTTTTTACTATTACCCACACAACAGTATTTTGACACAATGATACTTAATAATACATATACAATGATACATATTGATACATAATATACTTTGACAATCCTATTATAATACAGACTCAAGTACAAAGATACAGGTTGTGTGTGCAATTTAAAGAACTTCCTATTTCTAACATGATATGCTTTTTACTTTAGTCTCTGCTTGAAAGCCACGAACACCGTATGTTTATGTGAATGTAATTAATTCACATAAACCAACAATTGAAATTGGACGAAAAACCCATATTTTTGTACATAACTCTCTGCCGAACACAGCCTCACTCTGCCAGGCACATTTTGGAGCTACAGCCACTGTTTTGCAGAACAAGAGATGGTTTGTCCTTCGCCTCGTTTGAAGTCAGGTGCAGTACATTCATTTCATTTCACCACACAAATAAACATTGCTCCTGAGATTGCAACTGGAAAAATCACAGAAAAACAAACTAAAAGATCAAATATATAAGCAGCAACCCAGTGCAGTTGTTTTCTGACTGCTGGAATGATGCTCACAAACGTTAAACACACTGTCATCAAAAAAGATAAGCCACGTTTTTATCTAACTTTTGGAGGTTTTCCCACGTTCCCAATCTTCAGTGTTAAAACCAGTTATTGAGAATGTGTATCACTTCCTCCACCTTGGCCTTAACTGCAAATAGGATTACAGCAGCAGTGCATAGTCACATCCTGCAGGTAGTTTTAGAGACACATTGTCGGGATCTGTGCGAGTGTGTGTCCGTGTGTGAAAAAAGACACACTCTAGACATTCTGGGAGAAGCAGGGATTTACTTTCTAAAAATGGCCGAGGAGGGCAGCAGGAGGAGGAGGAGGAGGAGGAGGAGGAGGAGGAGGAGGAGGAGGAGCAGCAGCAGGAGGAGGAGGAGGAGGAGGAGGAGGAGGAGGAGGAGGAGCAGCAGGAGGAGGAGGAGGAGGAGGAGGAGGAGCAGCAGGAGGAGGAGGAGGAGGAGGAGGAGGAGGAGGAGGAGGAGCAGCAGGAGGCGGAGGAGGAGGAGGAGGAGGAGGAGGAGGAGGAGGAGGAGGAGGAGGGCAGACGGGGTAAGTGAGACGATATGGTAAAAGGGCTTGAGTGGCTGGAGAGAGAAGGCATTATTTACTGGTACTTGAAGAAAAATCATAAAAATGACTGTGTTTGGAGGAGAGGGCAATTTAGGGCAATCAAAATAGACCTATTTATGTATTTTAGGCTGTAACAAGTTAATTTATTAATCACAGTCGGTTATTTATAATTATTTTTTGTTGTTTATTGTTGGTAGTTTCATTTGCAAAGTGTTTGAAATGAAATTCTTGCTACTACTTCTGCAACACACTGATTACTGACATAATTGTGAAACTTATATAGTAGTCGGTAAATTCATAATTCACCGAACAGATTTAAACATACTGAGGTTTTGTGAAATGAATAATAACAAAGGAAAGTTTTTAAACAAACAACCAGAGAAACACGGGATCTTTATAAAGCTGTTCTCCAGGAGCATCACGTCTCTTTTTTAATAGCAGTTACACAATTTAAAAATACAACAATTACAATTTATTCTTGTATTGTAAATCACGGCAGCATCATCTCAGAGACTAAACCAAACCATTGAAATCACCAACACAGATCAGGGAACAGTTAAAACACACAAAAATACACATACAGTGCCTTGCGAAAGTATTCGGCCCCCTTGAACCTTTCAACATTTCGCCACATTTCAGGCTTCAAACATAAAGATATAAAATTTTAATTTTTTGTCATGAATCAACAACAAGTGGGACACAATCGTGAAGTGGAACAAAATTTATTGGATAATTTAAACTTTTTTAACAAATAAAAAACTGAAAAGTGGGGCATGCAATATTATTCGGCCCCTTTACTTTCAGTGCAGCAAACTCAGTCCAGAAGTTCAGTGAGGATCTTTGAATGATCCAATGTTTTCCTAAATGACTGATGATGATAAATAGAATGCACCTGTCCCTCCAAACTTTCATCTCAAACAAGGAGAAGACTGATCAGAGATGCAGCCAAGAGGCCCATGATCACTCTGGATGAACTGCAGTATTGGTCCATAGACATGTTGTAGAGTTTTAGAGAATTGAAGGAATAATCAGCCGTCTAATCAATTATCAAAAGAATTGTTAACTACAGCCCTACCTTGGGGCAGCACTCTCGCCTCTCAGCGAGAACGTCCTGGGTTCGAATCCCGGTTGGAACAGGGCCTTTCTGAGTGGAGTTTGCATGTTCTCCCCGTGTCTGCGTAGTTTTCCTCTGGGTGCTCCGGTTTCTACCACTAAAAACATGCACAATAGGTTTGAATGTAGAGGAGAGAGTGAATGGATGGTGTTGGAGCTGATGGTCCAGTGTGTTCTGGACTCGCTTCTGTCATCACCGTGTGTGGAAGGATTGGAACAATATCTGACTCTGATCATTGTAAAGCGCTTTGGGTGACCTTGGTCTGTAAAAGGCGCTATATAAATAAACATTACTTACTTACTTACTTCAGCCTCTGTCCTGCAGCCTGAGTCCTGGATCGACTGCCTGTCCGTCCATGGGAGTTTTTGAAATGATCCTTCATCATCATTCATGAACAGCTGTTTTCCCGCTCCCTGTGGACCAAAGACTTCCATGAGTTGGTAATTATTGCATCATCATTGCATGTGTTCAAATCGATCAGTTGTGGAGGAATGGATAACTGTGATTTAGGGGAACACAAAATTAATTGAATTGCTTTTGAAAACCAGATCTGATTTTGTTTGGCTTCTGTAGTGATACATTTCTCTGGAGATCTGTCCACTCTGCAAACCAAACCGTATAAAGCCAGTGCGCTACGAGCATGCTAATGGTCGTTAGCGTTTAAGTGCTTTTAAACTCTCCATAGTGAATAATTGATGCACTTAATTCAATTGATCAAACCAGGGAAAGATGGATGCAGAGGACTTTGCAGAAAAGAAAAGAAAGCTTTGGACAGCTTTATTCCAGACAGAGCATTGAGAGGTTGAAACCAAGAATGTAAGAACAGACAAAATGTGGGTAATTTCAAAAGTACAGAATATGGGGCAATAACGTAAAATTCAGTTAGTTTTAAAGCTCTTCTAGATCAGATTCAGATTCAGATTCAGTTTATTTGCCATTTGCAGTAAAAAAAACCACATTGGAATACATTAGCAAAAAGTCTCCAGTGTGCACAGACAAATACAGACATAAAACAACATTAAAAGACAGAAATAAAACAAATAAAACAGTAAACAAATCTATATTTTATTATTTTGGTCATGGAAACAGTTTCTAGAAACTTTTTCCAGCTCTTGGCCAAAAAAGTAGTCCCTTTCCTCGAACATGGGATGAGGTTTTCGTCTGGACACATTCATTGGCTGAAAGTGTGTCATCAGGCTGATGTTTAAAGTCTATTCAAGTCTATTCTTATTCAGATGTAGAACTTCTAGTATATGAAAATATGTTGCTTTAATATTGTAATCTTCCAGCAAAATATAATCATTATATTATAATAGTTTCATTTGTATTGCCCAAAATCACAGCAACAGTCAAAGAACCTCCACCTCCCACAGACTATGGACTCGGCAGGTCTGGGGTTTCGAGTCCAGCTGTGCATTTATGAACGGACAAGATGAAAACATGACAAAGTTATTGGGCAAAAACTAAATGATCAGTCAAATTAAACCCATAACCACTTCTCTGAATTAGCAAAAGCTGTAGTGAATATAGGTGCCTGTGTCAGTGTCAGAGCTTTCCTACAGAATGAAAATATATGTTTATTTTTCCCAACCTGAAGTCATCCATATATTCTTTGTTTGGGTGTGTCATTTTTTAGAACTTTATTATCCATCAGGTTTTTTAATTGCATTTTAAAGCCCAACATTTTTGACAATTTTAACTCAAATCTGCATTTTTGTTTTTTAAAGCCTCTCAGATGTGATGTTTAAACTCATTGATGTGAATGTCTTCCCGGATCATGTGTTTGCTTGGACACAGTCAGTTTGGTGTTGGGGATTTTGCTCTAAGGCTTAGTTCAGTGTCTTTGAGAGTTCAGGCGTTGTCTCAGGACATGAACAAAACACAAATGTTGAAGGCAAAACAGAAGAGATAAAAGTCTGTTGTTGACTTCAAGTTTAAAGATTTGAAGGCGCCGCAAAGAAACACTGGAATAAGTGAAAAAAGCCCATTCATTTGTCTCTTTTCCCAGACACGCACGCACACGCACACACACACACACACGCACATACGCACACACACATGCACACACACACACACGCACACACACATGCACACACACACACAAGCACACACACACACACGCACGCACATGCACACACACACACACACGCACACGCGCACACACACACACACACACACACGCACATGCACACACACACGCACGCACGCACACACACACACACACGCACACGCGCACGCACACACACACACACACACGCACACACACACACACACACACACACACACACACACACAGACAGGTAACTGTGTGTGTGTGTGTCTGAAAAGCCACAACAATCTCCAGGGCAAAATGCGTCCACTCCACCCACTTGTCTTTTTCGAGAGAAAGGAGAGTGAAAAGTGGAGGAAGAGGAGGAGGAGCAGAGGTGGGATCAGGGTAAAGAAAAGCTTGAAGATGATACAACCATGGAGGAAAAGGAGGGAGAAGAGAAGAGGAGGAAGAGGAAGGTGAGGAGGAAGATGAGGAAGAGGAAGGAGAGGAGGGAAAGGAGGAATAGGAGGGAGAGGAAGGTGAGGAGGCAGGGGAGGGAGATGAGGAAGAGAGGGGAGAGGAGAAAGAGGAGGAAAGGTGGGATCAGGGTAAAGAAAAGCTTGAAGATGACACAACAGAGGAGGAAGAGGAGGAGGAGGAGGAAGAGGAGGGGGAGGATGAAGATGAGGAAGAGGAGGAGGAGGAAGAGGAGGGAGAGGGCTGCGTCACATTTGCAGTGAAGAGGAACAGCCTGACAGCACAACACACACCTCCAGAATGACAATCTCCTCAGTTCCTCAACCATTCTGTAAACTTGAAACTTGAAACTAAAACCCACCTTTTTGGAGAATCTCACTTTGGTCGCGACTGTTTTACCAAAAAACTGCATCGCAACCATTTGGTGAAGGCCTATAATAAAAAAACAAATACCCATAAAAACTATTAGTGCTCCTACATCAGAAAAATATGTGGCTTTTAAGGAGTGAACCTTAAAGGGTAAAAATGAGAGTAAGATCCATGTCGTAATGAATTAAAGCTGGTGTATGTAAATTTCACACCACAACCAAATGTCACTGTATTAATATCCTTGTCAACCGATCCTGTGTCGAAGTTTTCACACGTGTGTATTTTTGGCTTCTGTCACAAATTTAGATCGGCTGTTTCTCCCCTCAGCTCTCAGCTCCAGGAGTCCATTAGTGACTCACTCTTTCTCACAAGATCAAAAACAATGAAATGTGTGTAATATTGTGATGAAGCGTCTGGTTTGTTTAAACAAGAAAATACTTTTACAAAATTATTTGTATTGGGACAAACAAGTTGTATCGTTGACCGGAAAAAAAACAATGAATTACGTACTCCAGCTTTAAAGGGGACATAGTAGACTAAATGACAAGAGTAATGCTGATAACAGGAAACATCAGACAGACATTATTAATTTCATGTGAATTTACCACAATAACACATCACAGAAAGTTGCAACACTTCTTTGAGTTCCATTTTATTTAATGTTTTGCGCTTGCATGTGTTGTGTGTGTGGTTTTATAAATTAATCATTACAATTAAAAACAGAAAATGTGCTTGTAAAAGATACTTTGCCTTTGTCATTTTGGGTCTCAGGCTGAACATAATGACACTTTGTATTTAAACTATATTTGATTGTTGTCTTTACGAGCTTTTTTTTTTTTCAATTACGTTTCTCATAATTGAAGAAAGCGCTAGTACTTAAGTAATTCATCCAGTCCACAGAGCACCAGCCCCTCACTGATGAGTCCACAGGAGCCTTGATCTTTCAGCGGGGACATCAGGCAAAGTGGGGTTACGTGTCTCGCCCAAGGACACAACGGCAGCAGACATCAGTGGGAGTCGTGAAGTAGGTCTTGTGGTGGGCTCGAACCCACGACCTTCAGGCTCAAAGGTCAATGTTCTACCAACTGAGCCACTGAGATTTCAAGTTTTGGTTTAAATGATCATATGGTCCTCGTTTATTTGTGCTTTTAAAAAATCTGCACAATCTGATTTTTAGATCCAGTGTCTTTGAAAAGTTTGGCTCCTTATTGCTTTGGTCTGAGGCCCCATGGTGCTGAGGTCCTGGTGCTGAGGTCCTGGTGCTGAGGCCCTGGTGCTGAGGTCCTGGTGCTGAGGTCCTGGTGCTGAGGTCCTGGTGCTGAGGTGCTGGTGCTGAGGTCCTGGTGCTGAGGCCCTGGTGCTGAGGACCTGGTGCTGAGGACCTGGTGCTGAGGCCCTGGTGCTGAGGTCCTGGTGCTGAGGCCCTGGTGCTGAGGTCCTGGTGCTGAGGCCCTGGTGCTGAGGCCCTGGTGCTGAGGTCCTGGTGCTGAGGTCCTGGTGCTGAGGTGCTGGTGCTGAGGCCCTGGTGCTGAGGTCCTGGTGCTGAGGTCCTGGTGCTGAGGTCCTGGTGCTGAGGCCCTGGTGCTGAGGTCCTGGTGCTGCGGCTGCGGTCGATAAACTATTAGAGCAGGGTCGATGCAGGTAAAGGTCTTCTCTGATGAAACTGAGGCTCTCTCTAATGTAAATATTCTCTCTGGAAGAGGAGCATGCTGGGTACTACCCTCAGAAACCCCCAGACGCGTTATTGGAAAAGAGGTTTACCCAAAATTACTGCTTATTTTGCTTATCTATTTTTTTTTCTACTTTTGAATACGCTGCTCCAGACCAGAGCAGAGAGGATTTATGGTCCGAACCAAACGGATCGGGTCAAAATCCAGTGGAGGAATGATTACTTTTATGAAAAATGGTAATAAAAAAATGGCTGCTGTGACCTGAAGGACTGTTGTATTTGATTATTACTATTATTATCTGTATATCTGTATATCTATCTGTATATCTATCTGAACCATAAAAAAAAACATTACATTAGTGTGAAGATGTGAAACCTTGTGTTCTGCTTTGCACCACATGGCCTGTTATTTATGTCATTATAGAACAATAATAATATATTAAAAACATGATATCTTGAATGTTATATGCATGATTTTGAGTGATTTCCACCAATTAAATGTGAATGTTTGTGAAGGGTGCACTTGTCTTTCTTGTGTCTTCCCCTGGAGAGTACTTTACAGTTGTCTACAGTCACGGTTTAACGACTGAAAACTCTTTGCAGAGATTTTTACTGCAGATTTTGCTCTTAAAAATATGTAGTGAGAGAGACTTCTTGCGGTAAACATTGACCCTGAAGCTCTGGCTCGTCTTTCTGGACAATAAAGGGAATTTTTCGGTTAATATTTAACTAATATTCAATTCGAATCTTCTTCTGCAGCACAAAAAAATAAGTTATTTAGTCCTCATTAGCAAAAACCACTGACTGTGCATTGTTTTTCACTGAACCTAGAGAAAATAGTAAAAACAGTCACATTCAACATAGAAGCAGCACGAGGAGAAGACTGTTTCACACTCACAACATGAAACATTCAGCTTTTACTGAGAAAATGACAACGCACAAATGATCTCTGTGGACTGACAGTCATTAACCCCCGTCTGAAATTAATGAACAAGATGAGAAAGAAACAGACCCAGCCCCAAGTGCAGAGCTGCCGATTCAGACACAAAAACACATTTCTGAGATTTCATTATGAATAAGTCTAATTTACATTTACACAAAACACAAATTGGTTGACCACATAATGTATTGTTTTATGAGGTTGCCTCATGTGCAAAATTGGTTTCAAAATATAATCAAACAAGTACTTTACAATAATTATAAAAATATTGTAGAATGTAGAATGTCTAACTCTCCACACAATAATACATTAATTGTTAATCAGTGACATTAGTCTCAAATGCTCCCTTAGAGATAGGGTGAGGAGCTCAGTCACACGGGAGGAGCTCGGAGTAGAGCCGCTGCTTCTTCACGTCGAGAGGAACCAGTTGAGGTGGCTCGGGCATCTGTTCCGGATGCCTCCTGGACGCCTCCCTGGGCAGGTGTTCAGGCCCCGCGGAAGACCTAGGACACAGAGGGACTATGTCTCTCAGCTGGCCTGGGAACGCCTTGGGGTCCCCCCGGACGAGCTGGAGGAGGTGTGTGTGGATAGGGAAGTCTGGGCGTCTCTGCTTAGACTGCTGCCCCCGCGACCCGGCAACGGATGAAGCGGAAGAAGATGGAATGGAATGGAATAGTCTCAAATGCAACATTTTAAGTGAGAAAATGAACTCACAAACAAGATACTGTAGTACATGTATGAAGTTCAAAGGAGTTTGTGTGTCTCATGAAGCTCTTCGAGGGAATCCTGAGGACAACCTTTGCTGCAAACAGGGGACATTCATGGATCTTACCGGTTTTCTCCATGAATGCATCACTAGAAGGCAGTTATGAATTCTCACTTTCAACATTACAGCTTGGTTCGGTTCACTCAGTCTCACTCATCGGAATTCACTCGATAAGATCATTAAAATCAGCAGCAAAATCATTGGACAGCGGCAAGACTCACTCACAGCCATTTACAATCATAAAGTTTTAAGGAAAGGCCCAGATCTGCACAGACAGCTCCCACACTCTGCACCCTCACTACAGTCTGCTCCCCTCAGGGCGTAGGTTCAGGTCCCTCCCATTAAAAACAAAAAGGGCCACATCCAGCTTCCTCCCAACCTCAATTTGTCTTTAAAACAGCTGATCTGAAACCTGTTTTATGTATTTTAAATTGCATTTCGGCTCTTTTACTGTATTTATACTATACAATTTACACAATACAATTTATTCTTGTATAGCCCTAGGTCACAACAGAAGTCATCTCAGAGGACTTAACAAAACCATTGAAATCACCAACACAGGTCAGAGAATCAACAGTTAAAACACATGAAGAATACAGTATAAAGCACACACAGAAGAAAATGTCCATACATGTTGTAGAATGCTAAAGTGTCCTGATCATCACCAATCCTTTCTGTTGGACACTAACTGTCCAACAAGACCCTCCTGCATCGACAAGGAAAAACTCTTAAAAAACCCAGTGGGAAAAAGTGAGAAACCTTGGAGGAGAACTAGGGAAACCCACAGGGAGGGAGACCCATATGAGAAAGGGATCCGCTCCTCCGGACGGACAGACTAATGATCTAGGACCTAAGCTAGCTACAGAACGTGGACCAGTGGACGCTGAACGTGGACAGGTCCGGTGCAGGACCGAAGCACTCCCAGGCGGGTCGGGCGGGGCAGTCCGCAGGTGTAGATGGAAGAGGCCAGGCTCAGAGATCCCGTCATCGTACCATGAAACAGACAATGGGACAACGGGTGAATAGCAATGAACAAACTACAGTCAGAATCCTAAAAATGCTAAACAGATAAAGTAGGAAGGAGGAGAGGATAGTGCTCAAGTTACCATACTTCTCCCAGCAAACTGACTCCCTATGCAGCTTGACTAACACTCTGAGGAGTTTAACCTTCTCCGAGTCTTACCTTCCTAGCCATATGCTAAACTAAAGAGGACTGTTTTAAACCTAGCCTTGAATAAAGAATAACATACAGCATAATATATAACATAATATACAACATAACACAATACATTATTGAATAATATATAACATAATATATAACATAATACAGCATATATATATAATATATACACTACATATTATATATTACCTAATTATATGCTAAATTAAAGTAAAGTGCTTTAAGCCTGGCCTTGAATGTGGAGACCGTATCTGCTTCCTTAACATAAATGGGAAGCTGATTCCACAGTAAAGGAGCTTGGTAGCTAAATGCTCTGCCACCAACAGTGACCTTTGAGACCTTAGGGACCACCAGACGTCTGGCGTTTTGTGAGCGCAACGCTCGACTTGGTTGATACGACACTAACGTGTCTTGGAGATAAGAAGGAGCCAAGCCATTTATGGCTTTATATGTTAAGAGTAGGATTTTAAACTTTATTCTGTACTCCACAGGGAGCCAGTGGAGTGATTTTAACACCGGAGTTATGTGCTCCCTCCTTTTGGTACCTGTTAAGATCCTAGCTGCTGTATTCTGAACGAGCTGGAAGCTCTTCAAAGAGGCTTTAGGGCACGCTGCCAGTAAAGCGTTACAGTAGTCGAGCCTTGAGGTGACAAACGCGTGAATGAGTTTTTCCGCGTCACTTTTAGGAAGGAAATTCCTAATTTTAGCGATGTTCCGTAAGTGGAAGTACGCCGTTTTAGTTGCTTGGCTTATATAAGCCTTGAAGGAGAGTTCTTGGTCAAAAATGACTCCAAGATTCCTCACAGTGTTACTGGGTATTATACTGACATTATCGAGAGTAACCATCTGGTTAGTGAGGGAGTCACGCAGGCGCTTCGGACCGAGTAGGATCACTTCTGTCTTCTCCGGGTTGAGAAGTAGGAAGTTAAGAGTCATCCACATTTTAAGGTCCTTTATGCAGGCACTGAGCTTTTCTAGCTGATCTGTCTGATTAGGCTTCATCGACAGATAAAGCTGTGTGTCATCTGCATAGCAGTGGAAATTAATTCCATGCTTTTTAATAATGTTTCCCAGTGGCAGCATGTAGAGAGTAAAAAGAATCGGTCCGAGTACCGAACCCTGCGGCACACCGAATTCCACTCCAGAATAAGGCGACGAGTCCTGATTCACATTGACGAAGTGATATCGATCTGATAAATAGGATTTAAACCAGCCAAGGGCTGTTCCTCTAAGACCTATATCACATTCTAGCCTCTGCAGTAGAATGCTGTGGTCTATTGTGTCAAATGCAGCACTAAGGTCCAGTAGGACCAGCACTGACACTTGTCCATTATCGGCAGCTAGTAGTAAGTCATTTGTGACTTTGACTAGTGCCGTTTCAGTGCTATGATGAGCTCTGAATCCTGATTGAAAGACTTCAAACATATCATTTTCCTGCAGGTGGCAGCGGAGCTGCTCAGCTATAAGTTTTTCCAGGATTTTAGATATAAAAGTGAGGTTCGAGATCGGTCTGTAGTTTGTAAGTATTTCTGGGTCCAGGTTTGTTTTCTTCAGAAGGGGTTTGATTACCGCGGTTTTAAAAGCTTGTGGGACATAGCCACATTGTATGGATGCGTTTATTATATTTACGATAGGCTCAATTATCAAAGGAAGTATGTCTTTGAAGAGCCATGTCGGGACTGAGTCTAACATGCAAGTTGAGGCTTTTGAGGATGTGACCACAGAGATCACCTCTGCTTGGCTCACAGCCATGAATTTATTAAGGCCCACTGAAGAGTCTAAGTGGGAAGTCACGTACTAAGATCATGTGTTTCTGTATCTTTGTGTACCCCACCGGTATGAATAAAGTTATTTGAATTGAATTGAATGCCGGTAATGCTGATCTTGTGAGAACTATCAAACATACATGGACTGACATTCAGACCTCACAGTGGGATATTAGTCAGTTATTCTGCACAGGGGCGGTGACACTGTGCATATGGGTATTCTGGGTAATCCTGGAGTTTGAGGACACCTTTCATCCACACGACTTTATTTTCTCTGGATATAACATGAGCTGTGGATTATAGATGAAACAGAGTGTGTATGTGTGTGTTTGTGTGTGTGTGCGCTTCAGTGTGTGTTATTTTATGGCCTATTAGGTGGAAAGTATACAGTGTATGAAAGCGCAGGAGCTGTCCATGGTCCTGCAGTCAAGACATTACATTGAAGTGACACGTTTCCACACTGTTGTCCAGAAACAGACTCTCTTTGTCTCTTTAAATACATAGAACTTTTTTAATATTATTATTGTTATTATTGTTATTATTATTATTATTATTATTATTACTAACAGCAGGCCTGAAGGTGTAAAATTTTGTTGATGTTGCTATGAAATGGATTTAGTTTTTGGAAATAAGACAAAAAGCAAATTAGTTACAAATTCTTGCTTTTTTTTGCCAAATTTACAAACAATATCCATGTTTTCTCATTGTATTTTGAGATCCCGCACTGTGGCTCTTTTTTGACGCTAGAGAATGTATTAGCAGAGCAACTACTGGGCTATGTGTACACAATGTGCCATAAGAGCAAAACAAATTTGTATTCTGTTTTTTTTATCATCTACTCACACATGAAGCGCACATCATTTCTATCTGTGAAGGCAGAGCACGTTGTAAGCCTGAAACTATGAACATGGACCTGTCTGCAGAGGAAATATGTGTGACAGAGTTCATTTTAACCCTCTATACGGCGAAAAGGACTGCTCTATTTCTGACACGGACACCCACACACCCCAAGCATCGCGTCGTTCCAGCCGTACTCACACATCAAAGCACATATAGGCTCTGAAAGTCTGCTTTTTCATGACATGCTGTGTGTCTTTGATAAGGTTAGCATTCGATTAGCTGTCCCTCGGATTCACTCTGTCACTCGAAGATATCCGGCCCACGTTTTTGCGAGAATGTGGCCGTGCTTTTAACAGACTGAAAATGAATCGCAAAGCAGAGGTTACAACAGAGAGAGGGGGAGGAGAAGGCTGCATAC